ATTGATTGTCAACAGGACAGACTTTTTCCTTTGGAGGACAGTAATATTGGCGATTGGACGTGCTTCGGCGCTTGGGGCCACATACAAACATTACAGGAATAAATATTGCAACATACAAACATTAAAAATAAATTAATTATTACAACCATATCGAATAATTGGAATAAAAAACAGAGAGATTAAAGTATCAGGCTTGGTACGCTGACAGTCTGTACCTGAAACGACTGTTAGTAGACAGATGAAAAAATGAAAAATAACAATTCAAGGAAAATATTTTAATATGTTGCCAAACATATCAAAACATGATATCAATCGAAATTTCCGACGAACGTGAGTGGAACAGTTCTAAATTTCATCTGCAGCTGCTTATAATTAATACTGTCAGTGCGCGGATCGCGCGAAATTCAAAGTGATCAAAAATGGAAATTGATTACATATTATGAAACTACAATTTAAATCAAGCATAACAAAAAAAGAACGGATGAAAAACGATAAAAAATGAGAAAGTTATGATACTGTGAAGTTTTGAATCTGTACTGTCAGTACGGTAAAAGTATACTGTCTAGTCAAATACGTTTTGTATCATAACTTTTTAACCGTTTATCGGAACGAGACAAAATTTATATGGATTTGGGGTAGAATGATGAGAGGAAGAGGATGGTGATGTTAGTTTTTACAAACTGTTCACCTAGTGAAAAAAACGCTGACTGGTGTGTGTGTTTGTTTTGAATGCATGGAAACATAATCGAAACCAAATACGTTTTATACCGTATCTCACTAACCGCTCATCGGATCGAGACAAATTTTATATGTAAATTGGGTAGAAAAATGAGAGGAAGAGGATGGCATAGGTGGTTTTTTGAAATTCACTCTCCTGTGAAAAAACGATAGCTGGTGTAAAATTATGACTTTATGCTTGCAAAATGAAATGAACACTTGGTATACTCATGCTACAAGTCAAGTGAGGTCACATACACATCACACATATCCTATATAACAGATAGCAAGCAAGTTTGAAGCCAAGGCATGAGTAAATATGACAGTTGTATGTAAGTTGCAAATCACATGACATAACAATGCATGATGAGGTGATTTTTGGTTCTTGAGTGTTTTGAGCAATTCCACCTGTTCTAACACCTTAAATACATCATATGGAGTGTGTATATATTAAAAAATCAGAACTGGAACATAGGTATGAGTATGTAGTATTCATTTTGCAAGTTAAAGCATTATGTGAATCATGAAGCATTATGTGATGTAAAACTTGTGTCAGTCAAATTTTCATGATTTGAATCATCAATACACATTACATATGATCATGTGAAGCTGTAGAAACAAAGATAGAACATGTACAAGCAAGAAAACTCAAACTGGCATGTAAACATGAAGCATTTTGTAAAGACATGAACAAATGAGCATGATAATAGGCAGATGAAGTTCCAGCTCAAATTGAACCAAGTTAATCATTTAGACAGCATAAACACATGATATTAAGATGATCCAAACCTTAAAAATCCATAGAAAGCCACTGTCATGAGTTTTGGCTAGTTAAATGCAAGTTGTTCACATAAGGATGCATATGAGGACATGAAACTTGATACAAGGGTTTCTAGCACAAGATGAGCATTCAAACACTTTAAATATGTTCAAATTAAGGTGTGTGCACTGAAATTTTAGCCAAAAATGAGTTGATGCAAGAAGTGTCCAATTGTGTGGTTTTGTCATTTTGGTGCAATTGGTGTTAACAAGTGAAATTTGAGACAAGGCAAGAAAACATCAAGATGAGCATACATATATGTTTGAAATGTTCATTAAAACCTGTTAGAATGATACAAGGTGCTTGTCATGCTCTTATGCAAAAAATGACCAAGTGAGTGTTTGGTGTGTTTTGGAGCATTCATGTCATTTTGGTGTCAATAAGTGAAAAATTGATATAGTGTGAAAAACAGCAATGTGATCATACAAACACACTTAGAACAACCATTTAGACATGTTGGAAGGTTGAGAAAACAAATATCAAGTGTTAGGCAAAGAATGGTGGTGTGTGTGGTTTGTGATTTTGATGAAATTTGGTGTTACCAAGTGAAATATTGGTGCTGTGTTTAAAACAATAAGAGAAGCACATACACATGTCACAAATGCAATTAAGGATATGTTGGGATGATTAAGACAGAATTGCAAATGGTTTGTAACCAATTTCTACTGCTATAGATTTTGAAAACAGTTTGGATGCAATGCTGTACATAATGAAATGTTGGCCAAGATCACATGAATGATATTGCTGGTATTAATGTGAACAAACTAAATCACAGCTCATTATTATGGACAATCCAAAACAGTTTTGCAATTTCTATCAGCCTGAATAGTAATGAGTATGACCAATACAATGCCTATACATGCTTGATATACATACCTTAAAACAGCAAGGCATAATGAACCAACTCTAGGCAAGAAGAGGTAGCAGCAAAAACAAATGAGAACCTAACAACAACAATGCTAGCATACACCTCTTAAAACGACAGCAAGCCATAAAATGATGATTAGGATTATACTTACAAATTTCAACAACATTATAACTCAAATAAGATATATTAGCAGCAACATGACATTAACTCCTCAGCAGGAACAGGGTACATAAAACATAGGATTCATGTTAGCAAACATTAAGCATTTATGAACTTCTTCAACAAATCCATGGTTTTAAGTATAATGACTCAAAACAAACAGTATTACCACATCAAGAATGAGTTTACATACTTATGCTAAACCTCATGACAGACCATTCATAAAAAAACCAAATATCATGGAAATAAACAACATGTGTTTATGGTTCAAATGCTCAAAAATGTGATTTCATAAAAAGTGGTACTAAAGCCAATAAGACACATCTACATACCTCTTGTAGATCCTCTTGGATATGCTGAAATGATTTGAGAAACCAAGAAATCCCTCCTTCTCCCTTTTGTCTTTTGCAATTTCTTCTACTTTAAGCAAAATGCACTTATGTGGACAAATCCCATCTATGAGCTTCCAGCTGATCTTTATGGTTTTGAACAGCTACAATATGATGAACATGAGGTGTCTCAAGTGTTGGAATGGTGAGAAAGGCTTTGTGTCAAGTTTTGTCAAGAAAAATGCCCAAAAGTCAAACTATGGTACATGAACCATTGACTTTTTGATCCTTAGATTTTTTGGGAAAACTAATGGTTGGAACAGCTTCAGAGGGTCATTTTAAGGTGGTCTATGAGGTCCTTGAATTGTTTTAAGATTTGGATGAAGTTCTGGTGTGAAATGTACAAGTTGACATATTTGGTGTTTTTGAAGGATTTTGAGAAATTGAGACAAAGTGAGGGAAATGTGATAACAGAAGTTGTTTGTGGTTTCTATCAGATTCTATATCTATGGAATGAGGTGAGGAGGGTCTCTATTTATAGGAAAAATGAGTGAGGAGCTTGCTTGGCTACTTTGCTTCACCATGAAGAAACCTTTGATTTTCCATCCATTTGGCTACTTGCTTCTCTTTTTCTGATTGCTAGCTGTTTCTTTGCATTGATTAGCAAGTTTTCATGATGTTTTTACAGAGATTTCAATGCCTAGAGGTGTGATAGAGTGGCTGGAGCAGAGGTTGCTTTACACCTCATGCTTTGAAAGGTCAAAAAATGCAACTTAGGCAATGAACTTGCTAAATTAATTTCCATGAGCTTCCCTTGCTATTTCTTTGGTTCAACCTGCTAAAGATGGTTAGTATATCAGATAGAAGGAGTTTGTAGCATTGAAATTGATCCACTTGAGTGCTAGAGGTGCTTTTGCAAAATTCATCAATGTGGGACAAAAGTGACAAATTGCCAACTTTGAACACATGTATCTCTCAGCTCATAAATCCCCTTGAGATGTACTTGTACTTTTTAGAAAGCCCTCACATAGTACTAAAACTTTCATGTTGGCCAGAAATCTTGATTCTATTTGAAACTAGGTGAAAAACCCCCTTGAAGTTGGCTGATTTTAGCTTTTAAGGTGAAAATAACTTAGAAATTTTCTAAGTTATTTTCCCTTCTAGGAATGTTTTTGCTTATATCTCAAAAAGTATGCATTTTCTGGTTGTGGACTAGTATGGGACTTTTGTAGGACTTGTCAAGAGCTTTCAAATGAGACTAGAACCAACTCAATTGGATGTGTGGTTAAGGAGATACGGTTTAGCCCTTTTCAAAACCCTAATTTCCCGATTTCTCGATTACTCTCTCATTTTTGATCCAATGACCATGAAAATTGATATGCAAGTCCATTATGACATAAGGAACAACTTTGATTCACAACTTGGATTCCAATTCTCAAAATTCGAGGAGTTGACTTTTCGGTCAACCGTACGATCGATCGGTGCCGATCGAGTCGCCTGTTGATATTCTGGACATCCTGGGACTTTGACACTTCTTGAATAGTCTTTAATAGCCTATATTAACTTCATGGACCTCACTCCCACCATTAAAACATTTCCCAACATCAAAGTCAAACCACAGTTGACTTTCCACTGGTTAAAAAAACCTAATCGGGGCCTCCTGACTGCACTGTTCTTGATTCTGAAACAATTTCTTCAAATTGACTTCCCATTTGACTTTGATATTGTCTTTGATTTCATTCCATGATTGAATTGGCCCAAATCATTGGTTGATCCTTCCTTGATTGTTTTGAATTTGTCGGTGCGAGAACCCTGATTTCATCTGTAACTTCACAATGAAACTTTGAACTGGATTAGTGTTAGATAAATTCATGATGTATGATTCTAATATGATTATGAGGATCTAAGGTGGTCAAAATTTGGGGTATGACACTAGGGATTTGCAAGTGATTGTTTGCTGGTAATCGGTGGAGGTCGGTGAGTGAAGAGTGATGAAATTTGATGTTGAACGGTGAAGGAAATAGGGTTTCCACGGATGATGTGGTTGTGGTGAGAGTTTCGAAGGGGATTAAGGGTTTGAGGTCTGATGAAGTTTTGGTAGCTGTTGTTAATTCGGATTTGGAAGGTGAAGGTTGTTTGAGGGTTGGAGGAATAAGTTGGAGATTTTCTGGGTTGTCAAGGGAAAAAATAGTGATGGGGGTAATTCTTGATGGATTGGCTCTTTAACATGATTGACAGGAATCACAGTTTCAGGGACTGGTAATTTTCCGTTCTCCAGTGGTAGGCTGACTTCTTTGCTGATAATAGTGTCAGTATCAGCAATAACAGTTTGACTGGGTGGAATTTCTTCAGGAACATGGACAGCCTCAGGTTCAGGAGTAAGAGCTTCTGATGGAGGAGCACTTTCATCAACATCATTTGCTGGTACAGACTCAATATCAACTGACTTATACTCGTCAACATATCTAAAAACATCATTCAAAACATAGAAGCCCTTGTCCTGTGGAGCTAGGAAAAATGATTGAGCAAACTTGCGTTTAACATTGTCAGTTCCAGTCAAGCAGCCGGTCACCACAACCATTACCCCATTATTCAATGAGGGTTGAGCATCAGCACTCAGAACCTCTACCCTAAAGCTTGTGTAATCGAGAGATTGTATCTTTTTATCAATTTCAGCAGTGGCAGTGACAGATGTCATGGTACCATCTTCCTCAGGTCGACTCAACACACTCGAATCATGGTAAAACCTGTGAACCTGATCCGGGTCGCGGTGCAGAATAGAGTAATACTGCTCCACAAAAGCATTGCCAACCATCTGAGTGGTTGGGGTTGAGGCTACTTCAGAAACTGCCATCTCTCCTTCCGGTGATGGAGAGATCAAGGAACGATTGAAGAGAGAAAGAAGAATGCGGCTGATGAGTGAGTAGAGAGAGTAGGATCTGTCGCGAGGTTTAAGGTGAGAGGAGATAAAGAATGAAAAACTGTGTGTATGGTTTACAACAGGAGTTGGTGTGAAATGGCAGAGTTTGAAGATAGAGATAGGTGGATGCACACAACTTGTGGTTGCTGGAAGAAGATTGGTATGTAGCAATTAAGTTTAAGAAGTTCGGTTGGAGGGGTTGAATGATGAAGGATTCGGTTTTCGTTCACGGATCATTTTGTTGGTTTCTGGCGAAGGCTTTTTATGGAGAGGGGTTGGACAGTTCATCCCCAAAAAGGAAGATCCCTGCTACTCCTTTTTCGATCCTAGCCAAAGTTTTTTTTTTTTTTAGGATAGTTTTTTTCTTTTCATTTCTTCTGTTTAATGTATTGTAGGTGTTTTTGGACTGAACTGCTTTTCACTTTACTGGTTGCAGGTTTTCGGCTTGGTGTTGTTGGTCAATGCAGGTTGTGCAGAGCCTGTTGTTTTGTAGCATGATTTTGGTTGTTTGGTTGAGAACGGTTTGGAGAAGTGGAAGTTTGGGTTGAATTAGGAATCTACGATGCGTGCATTGTTATACGAACAACTCGGCGATTGAAAACGTTCGACGAGATAACGACATTTCTGCGAGAACTCTCCATCAACCAAAGACAAAGGGTTCGTTTCCAACTCTCCCACATAACCCTCTTTGTTTTCAATTTTCTTCTTTTTATGAAAATTCATGCTATTGTTTTACTGTTGTTGTGGTTTTAGGGATGCAGCGGGGCGGGCCACGAGAGAACGAAACCCCTCCTTACCCCTTCCTAACCCCAAACGAACGCTCAAAACAGAACGCAGGAAAACAAAACTAACGAGACTTCCGTATACCGCAAACAGACGCAAGCAACGGAAATAAACAAAACATAATCCAGGAGCAAAGCTAATCTAGGCATGTGATTAATCAAGGATGTGTGTTTCTAAGATAAAATGGAAGCTCAAAATCACAAGTTCAAATCAACACGCAGAGGAAAATGAGATATGAAGGATTAATATATTTACCTCAAACAAAACTGGAATCCAGGTATGAACTTGAATCTCTTTCTTTGATTTTATTTTCCCTCTCGCAACTCCTACTGCTGATGAAAATTTTATGATTCTACACAGGACGCAGTTCTGTCATGAGTTCTAGGTTCACAGCTTCTTCCTCTTATTCTACAGCTCCTTCTCCGCAAAACAAAGGTGATGACTGATGGGTGTTTTTGTTGGTTTATGGATGATTGATATCTGTTTGATGGTTTATGGATGATTCATATGTGTGAGTGGAAGAAGACAATTTTTCATATCAGTTTGGTGATCTTTTTTTTCTGCTGCAATTTCAATATTGTTATCTTTTCTCTCGTGCTGAAGCTCTCCCTTTATGGTCCAACCCCCTCTCCTTTTATTTTTTTTGAATCCTCAAACATAGTCCTCTACCTCCCATCCTTGGTTGCTGTGCTCTGAGTTGTGTGTTGACTAGTTTATTTTCCTTCCAAATTAGTGTTAAGGTTTTTTACTGCAGATACTGTTACATCCCTACTTTTCATTTTAATGACACTGTCTTTATTGATGCAGGAAAGTAGCAGCATGATTTTGTAATTTTGGTGCAAAAAACCTGGTCTGATACCTTGGTACAGGGTGTGCAAAAGTGAATCATTGTTGTGATTGAGGTGCAGAATTGTAGCATGTTTGAGAGCAGGTTTGGGGGGTTGTGTAGTTCAAGGATTTTGTCTCATTGTGGTGCAGGTTTTGTGGCAGCAGGGTTGGTACAGTTGAGGTGACACGGCTGGGTTTTAGATTAATGTGTAGGTGCAGTAGCTTTCAAGTGGCTTTGGGTGGTGTACATGTATTCTTTTATCTTTTGTCATACTGATTGTAAAAAGGAAAAAAGCAGAAATACAAAACAATGAATTTTAAAAAAAGTAAATGGGCTTGGATATTTTAAATGTTTTTTTTTTGTAGAAAATTTGAACAAGGAAGTGCCATAGTGGTTTGTTGGTGTACATAGGTATATCACACGGCTTTGTTAGTCAATCAGTTACCTTCACATAGTGAATAACATAACTATAGACTCACTCTTTCATTTCAAAAATGATGGAACGGTTACCTCGTGTAGAAATTAACACGATTAATATTATTGATTGTTGTCAACTAAAAAAAAAGAAAACTTGGATTATAGTATGGAATATTTATAGATTGAATATTTGGAAACTTTGGATATAAGAATGGATAAAAATAAAAGGATAAACAAATTGGTGATGAATGAATTTTGAAAATAAAATGTGAAGTGGGTTAAAATCAAATATGTACGAGTTTAATGAATTGGATTGGGATGTGAATGAAAATGGATTAAGAAAGTGGTTTGGGAGCGAGTATATGTAATGAATATGTGCCTCCACATCTAAACAACACCTTAAATCCAACTTAACATGATCTTGATTGAACAAAAACTCTGACTAAATCCTCATACCAATAGCGAGATTTTAACCACTTCATCAATGCTTGCACACACACTGAATCTGCTAATCCTCAGGAGAAACTCGATTGAAGGACAATTGGCTCATTTGATTCAAACTCTTGTCATTCAGACCAACGATGAAGCCCCACACACATGACACAAAAAAAAAACGGCTCCAGACTTGTTTTAAGAGCATTTGATTTGAAGTTTGAAACAGTCTAATAAGGTAAGCATGACTTAAAGATTTAGTCATAAATTTCTGGCCATTATCCTTTGACCTGATCACTTTGCTTGACAATTTGATTCTGATACGAAAATCCTAATTCGAACCTCACACAATACTTGAATTAGTGCACCATGAGTAGGACAAATTTGGGGTATGACAGCTGCCCCTATCTAATTGACTTAAACCGAGTAAGATGAAATGCCATGGGCATTTATTCTTTCGAGGTAGAAGATGATTTAGATAAAAAAGAAGACCCTGAATTTGTCCAACAAGAAGTAAGATACTTGGGAATGAAATACTGGATACCTTGCAAAGGTCGCTAACACCAAAAGGATGTTAACAAAGAAAACTTGACACCCAAAGAAAGATACCCATCACCAAAAGGACGATGGTAAACTCACACACATTTTCCTGTCATCAAAGAATATAAAGGACTTACTACCAAAAGGATGGTGGAAACACGCGCTAGTCATGACACCAAAAGAATGTCGGACCCATCACCAAAAGGATGATGGAGCAAAACAAGATCAACCCTAACACCAAAGGATGATAGGGGGATAAGCTTCTCTGAAGAGATTGCCACTTATCGCTGAAGATGGATAAGCTTCTCTGAAGAGATTGCCACTTACCGCTGAAGATGGATAAGCTTCTCTGAAGAGATTGCCACTTATCGCTGAAGATGGATAAGCTTCTCTGAAGAGATTGCCACTTATCGCTGAAGATGGATAAGCTTCTCTGAAGAGATTGCCACTTATCGCTGAAGATGGATAAGCTTCTCTGAAGAGATTGCCACTTATCGCTGAAGATGGATAAGCTTCTCTGAAGAGATTGCCACTTACCGCTGAAGATGGATAAGCTTCTCTGAAGAGATTGCCACTTATCGCTGAAGATGGATAAGCTTCTCTGAAGAGATTGCCACTTATCGCTGAAGATGGATAAGCTTCTCTGAAGAGATTGCCACTTATCGCTGAAGATGGATAAGCTTCTCTGAAGAGATTGCCACTTATCGCTGAAGATGGATAAGCTTCTCTGAAGAGATTGCCACTTATCGCTGAAGATGGATAAGCTTCTCTGAAGAGATTGCCACTTATCGCTGAAGATGGATAAGCTTCTCTGAAGAGATTGCCACTTATCGCTGAAGATGGATAAGCTTCTCTGAAGAGATTGCCACTTATCGCTGAAGATGGATAAGCTTCTCTGAAGAGATTGCCACTTATCGCTGAAGATGGATAAGCTTCTCTGAAGAGATTGCCACTTATCGCTGAAGATGGATAAGCTTCTCTGAAGAGATTGCCACTTATCGCTGAAGATGCTGGAGACAATTCATTGGGGATCACCCATAGATTTACTGGAGATGCCCCTGTCTGGGCTGAACGTTGATTTTGAAGGTCTGTTTAACCACGAGGTTGCAATACATCATGCAATACGCCCATGGTCTTGAAAAGATGCCCCTGACTAGGCTGATTAGGATCTTGAAAATCTTCGAAATTGATCCTGAATCTGATCTCGTATATGTAAATGCTTGATGATAATGATGTTCCATAACGAATGGAGATGCAAATGCAAATGCTAATACGCGGTGATGCAAGAGCTGAGGAAAGTATGATGTAATCATAGGTATGTATATGATGCAAGATGCTTATGAAGCAAGATACTTATGATGTCGAATGTGATGCGTATGATGCGTATGATTGCGGACAGGTAATGGAAATACAGGTGCCGACATGGCGAACTTTGGTGGTGGGAAAGTGAAAGATAAGCATGACTTCCCGACATCATCTATTTATGATGTATAAAGAACTTGGATGCGTTGAGATTTTCAGCTCATGGCCTGCTCTGCCGGGTTTGATGACCTTGTCAGTCAAGTTGTTACAAGATTTAGAATGATGTTCCTGCGCACTCTTTAGAGTCATGGTCACCCTTTAGTTATCCCAAGAGGGTAAGTTATCCCTTAATCTAATTTACCATAATGTCATTATACGCAAAACCCATCATCAGATAAATGAAACTTGCAACCAAAGGGTAAATAAAAACAGAAAAAACTTTGATGAAAGCAATTTTATTGATGAAAACCCATAAATGGGAAAATTACAAAGGGAGGCAATTCCTAAAAGAGGTAACTGCTTTTAAACGAGAAAATAAAAACTAAGACAATGTTGAAAATGGTCCCTGCCAAGTTTCAAACCCGCTATAGCCCATATGTCTCCGAAGACCCTTCACGCCTTGCTTTTGAGC